GCAGGGAGGGAATGGGCCCACACATCTGACTCTGTAGTCATGTGGCCTGCACAGATAAGAAAAAGGAGGAAATGATCAGAAGAGGGAAACCGAAACTTGAGCATGCTCAGCAGATATGGCAACATCTGGTCTACACAATCTCAAGCTGCAGCGGGGGACACAGACAAGAAGGGAAACAGTGAACAGCAGGATCAATACTGTAATAAAGTGAGCCATGACACAGACACTTTGGTCCAACCAGGGGGTACATCAAATTAAATACATGGCTTCCTAATACTTAAATAAGATACAAAATTTGTTCACTCAAAAATATATTTTAAAAAAACACATTACCCTTCAGCAATACCTCTCAACAGCAGAATCAACCAGGTTTTTTGCAGAATACAGAATAAAAATCCTATAGTGACCGAGTGAGTATGAACAGCATGTAGTACAGCATGTACGGACAGTTTTTAATTACATGGGTTTAATGACACTTTAAGGTCTTCAGATTCAAGATAGGGTGGATTTCCCCTTTTGGTATTGGAACAAAGAAAAGGTTTGAGTAAAAGTCCTGAAACCTTTCTCTTCTTTGAACAATGGCAATGACTCTTTGGTTCAAAAGACCTGCTAGAGCAGCATAACAGTCTGCTGGACTGTAAGCGCAGGCACATTGGAAGGGAATGGAACTCTAGCTTGTGGTCTATGGTCACCTCATCACTTATCCAGGCATTCAAGATGTTTTCTGATCAGATGTTCCCAAAGGCCAAAAAATATCCCTCCACTTTCTTCACAATGAGAGCTGTGAAAATGTGGAATAGACTCCCTCAAGAGTTGGTTCTGGCCAGCTCAGTGGATTGCTTTAAAAAGGCCTGGATTATTTCTTGGATACACAGAATATAACTGGATACTAACATTTATAGGTAAAGTTGATCCAGGGAACATCCGTTTGCCTCTTAGGGGCTCAGGAAGGAATTTTTTCCCCTGCAGGAGCAAATTGAATCATACTTTGCTGGGGTTTTTTGCCTTCCTCTGTATCAACTGTAGGTGTAGAATTATAACTTTTTTTTAATGGTTGAACTGGATGGATTTTTGTCTTTTTTCAGCCAGACTAACTATGTAACTTTGGAAAGTGGGGGCATCCTTTCTTTATGATGATGCAGGTTTAGGGGGTTTCAAAGATCAGAGTTTCCTAATAAACTGGGCCCCTGGTTTGTGTCTGGCATTGGAGTTTGAAGCCTGGGGGAAACTGTTTGGGACAGATGAAACCTTCCCAGTTCGTGGCCTAGGAATCTCCTGCTGGGGCAAATAAGTACTCTTACTGGCAGTAAAATCCTTGTTGCACCAAGAAGATTTTCACCGTAAAAAGGAATGTGCAGCACAAACTTTTTACATTTCTGTTCCACAGATCAACATCAGCTAAAGATTCATGTGCATACTTACAGACTGGAGATTCAGTCAGGAAATAAGATGGACAATATTGACCAACCCCTCTGAACAATAGTGTAGGGCTGTTGGCATAAGCTCTAAGCACTCTAAAACTAAATGGTTATTAAGGAGAGTAGTAGCTGGATTCTTAGACATAAACTTAGACGTCACCCATATCCACAGTGGCGGTGACCCACTTCTTACTAAAAGCCTCCTCAAACAGATAGTGGTATTTAAAATATTTCTGAGGAGTGAATAACTTAAAGTGGTTCAAAAGGTTATTTACCTTAACCCATTCCACTATTTCTTTCCCCCAAACACTTACTTCAATCCAATCTCGAACCAGCGCTATGCCCATCTGCAAGAGCATTGCTCTCTCTTTCTGCTCTCATAGGACAGACCAGCTCACATGGCTTGCTATGGGGGCAGACAGCACTGACTGGGGACCCCAGAAGGTGAGATAAGGGGCCACTCTGTGCAATTTCCTTGCACAGAGCAGGTAAGAATAAACCTCTTATTTTAGGAAATATGATAAACCTTTAGTATCACTTTAATAGGAGTTGTCCAGTCTCTGCACAGGACAGTTTCAAGCAGAAGTGTACCAGTAGTAACAGCACTAGTATCAGCTGTTCCAATGTTAAGCTGGCTCACATTGCATTAATAAGAACCTATATGATATCTATAAGCTTGGGAACTGTAATCAGCTGATTGTGGCTCCTCAGAAAAAAACCTCATCCAAAATTACTTTGAACACTGATTAGTGTGTTCTGACGAGGGGGAAATCCCCTGTCAGAACACAAAGGCCTAGCAGGGGAGGTCTATGAGACCCTGCAATGGACCAGACCAAGCAATTGCTGTGTCTGTGATTACAGCAGAAGCCAAAGCTAAATTTACCTAGCAGCCTAACTAGGAGGGCACTACATTTTTGCCTTTGGGTGTAATACTGCTTTAACAAAAGTGCATTACAATATACGGCAGAGCCTACATATTATTCTCAGAATAAAAGCACCAATAAAATGTAAGATCTATTGTAATGCAACAGTTTTACAGATTTTTGCTGTAATGTACAAAAAAATGCATTATTAGTAAACTGCTTTAAACTCAGCTGTAGTCATTTTTGTTTTGAGTAGGTTAGGGTAATGATAGAACCCATGTTTAGTTTTTACTGTAGTCTGTGACCCGATTGGAGATATTTCCCTTCATTTTCTGTTGTCAGGACAAAAACCAATAGGGGTTCTCTGCACTGGGAACATAGTCTCCAGCAAAATCATTTTTTTGCAATAAAATGGCAGGGTTAGAACTACCATCGTGTTATTACTACTTTCTATGATTTCCTGTCCCCCAGTGAAAACCACTCCTATCATTTCTTGTCTAGCTGTCACAAGTTGATGGCAGAGGTAAAGGAAGTGAGGAGAGATTTCAACAACAGGGTTATGAGCAACAATAAAGGTCTTACAGGAGTATATACGTTTTCAAAGCCTATCCAAAACTAACAAATAATGTTTTTTGTGCAATGGTTTTTATTCAATTTTCAAGTCATAACAATAACAAAGTTGCCCATGCAAGGGGACAAGAAAATTACACAGAGTATTGTTCAAATAAGCAAAGAGTGAACATAAAATAAAGCAAATCAACAGGATGTACCGGAATCTGGGCCATTAGCAAATTGTGCAGGTTCTGGTTGGTTGCCTTAAGACCAGATATCCCACAATGATTGCATCAGAGAAAAAAATAATGTTTTGACTTTTTTCTAATATACTTGCATTTCAGTTCTCAGGTTCAATAACAGATAGGAGCTAATTCTATAGAATACCTCCCATATCCTTAAAGTGGAACTTTAGTCAGAAAATTAATTCCTGCTAGGTCACTTCAGGCTGGCCACTTTTGCAGGTATAGCTATGCAAAACATTAAAAAAATAAGTGCCTATACTGTTTTAAATCCAGTAATATATTGTTTCACACCTGCTCTGCATATGCTCATTTGCACTCTATTTGCTGGCAGCCTAAAGTTTTACTGCTGCTCAGGATTCTGGGCTTCAGCAAAATGGCAGCCTCCAGCAAGAAGAAACAAGAACAATGTCGGAGTCAATTTACAGCCCACACTAATTTTGGTAGCATAATTATTAATGTGTGCAATGTATGTTCCTAGCCAAAGAACATTATTTTTTAATAAGTTTTTATGGGCAGAGTTCCACTTTAAGATAGACATACTGTAGGTATACTCAATACTCAAAATATGTTTTATAAAAGGGAACAAAAATCAATGTACTTTGGCAGGCTAAAGTTTTTCTCAAGTATATGTTAACATAAAAAAAAATCACAAATATTAATGTAAAGCAACCTTCAGAATTAGTCCTTACCTGACCAACATAACCAGAATGGCCCTATACAAAAAAAAAAAAGTAGCAATCAGAGATCTTAGTAGAAGTAGAGTAGACCCTGAAGAATGGGACCACTGAGGCTCAACTGAACACTTTATATAAAAGGGAACTCTACTGATGGCTATCTGTAAAAAGAAATTCCATCCATTGATTTGTTAGAGAAAAACTGTATATGTATCTTCAGTTCTATCTGCATGTGCTCTGTATAATCCAGAGCATTTCCTTCCAAACATGAATGGTATATAAACTGTTCAGAGATAATGGTCTAAAAGGTGAAAGCACAATAATAAGCGGGAGCAAAGTTAAGTAACTACAGATATAAATCACTTATCCTCCTCCCCACAAATATTTCACTTAGTACTATAGTTTTTATTTTATACAGAGTATTTATTCAGTTCTTTATAAGTAAGTATAGCACTTACCACCAAAGGAGCCACTGTAGTAATGTCCAGGTCTTCCCAAACTTCCCCTTGCAGCCAGGTACAAGGCAGTTTCACAGCCAGGTACACACACACACACACACACACACACACACACTTTTGCTCATTGTCTCCAATAATGATTCTAGGGGTTATTGTGATACCACACAAATCTTTGGCGCACAGCTTACTGAAGAACCAGGGTCACTCTCTCTCCTACTTCAAGTCCTCATGTCACCCACCTGAGGCCACATGGCAGCAGGTGCCTTGGGAGGCAGCGTACCCCCCCCCCCTTCCCGGCTGGTGCAATCCTCCCCAGGAAAGACCCAGGGAATAGTATGCCCAAAGAATAAATAGCTTCTCCCAGCATTCATTAGGGCTGATCTCCCTGGGATTGGCTGGAGTGACATTAATATCCGTACTGTATTCTGCATGAGTTCTACCTATACATCTAGAACCTGCCTAGGTTACTTGGATACACAGGAAGTCAGAGGCAGAACTAGCAGCACTTGAACACACTGAGCAAGCACTATGAACAATTGTAGCTCTCTGTTAAGCAGAAAGCCTAATTAGATTTTCATAACAGTTCTCCTGTTAAGCAGAAGAACCAACTATAATAGTTGGTTCCTCTGCTTAATAGGAGAACTGTTATGAAAATCTAATCTACTTATCCTAGCACCTATCTTGGAGGGTGCTACATAAGGTAGGAGACACATCACATTTAACGTCAAAAGGAAAAGAACAATACAACTTTATTCATTTCATACCTTCTACTAACAGATTTTAAAATTACCTCCTGGTTGTCCTTATTTTGGTTTGTGCAAAATATCTTATGATACAAGGTTTCCAAAGAGTTGCCAGAATCCAGTCGATCAAAGCAATGCCGATCCAAAACTTCTAACGTGTGCAAAACTCTGCTAATAGTGACACCTATAATCAAAATATAGAGAACACCTGTTATGAAGGAAACTGAGATATTAAGCCCATATTATATAAAGACAAAGATTTCAAACTTAAACTTCACTGTTCAAGCTGCAATTGTCAATTTTAACATTTGTGGTCTGTACATGGTACTACAATGATTAGGGCAGTTTAAAAGGTCAGAAGGGAAGCTTACTGCGAGTTGAATGTGTTTTACCAGCCTTGGATAAGAAAGTCCTATCGATCATCATGAGCTCATCTCTCCAAAGCAAATGACTACCTGAAGGGCACATCCATATGAAGATTTCCTTCTATCACTCTGCTTATCTCTATTTATGTTTTTTTATTGATTGATTGATTAATGTATTTATTTTATTTATTTTTGTGTAGTGCTTATCTCCAAAAGGGGCCATTGAGAATGTACCCAGGTCTTCCACAAGAGTGCAGAGGCTGCCAGCCACACAAGCACAGTCCCACACACACTGACAATTCAGGCTCAGTCTAGGGGATATCTTTTTAGTATTTATTGCTAAAAAACTTTAACAGTAGAGGGGTTTAGGACCACAGCATACTCCACACTGATTAACAGCAATAATGGTAGGATAAACTTCTTACTAATTTTCTAGTAGCAGCTTTTCTTGGCGGTAACAGGGAATGGCCAGTATATATAGGACTAGACCAGGGGCGGACTGACCATTTGGAAACTCGGGCACTGCCCGAGGACCCGGGGTCAGTAGCGGGCCCCATGAGATGCCCCTGGTACCTTTTTCATAGGCTTTTTTGAGTTTGGGCAAGGACACAGGTGCCCCATGATCCCCTATTGCCCGGGGGCCCCATGAGTTGTTAGTCCACCCCTGGACTAGACATGAATTTTTGTTATTCGGAGATGTATCCAAATTTCAGAATTACTATAGTAACAAATTTAAAACAATCAGAAATAATGTAAGGAAATTTAAATCAAATTTGAAAATGAAATCAAATTTGAATACAAAATTCAAAATGTACACATATTGTTGATTATTGCTGATTTATGACAAGGACTGTGTGTAATAAAATATAACCGTCTTCCAAAATTCGAAAAGAATAGAAAAGAATAAAACAGAATAGAATAAAATAGAAAAAAATTAATAGAATAAAATAGAAAGAATATAGCCGTCTTAATAAATTCAAATTTGGAAAGGAATAGAATAGAATAAAATAGAAAAGAATAGAGTGAAACAAATTAGAAAAAAATAGAAAATAAAAGAATAGAATAGAAAAAAAATAGAATAGATTATAATAGAATAAAATAGAAAGAATAAAGTTGTCTTCTGAATTTCAAATAGAATAGAACCATATATTCTTCATAATGAATTCTGATTGGATATATTTGATTCAAATTCTTTGAAAAAATTTTAATCCACTGGAAAACAAATAAACAAAACTAAACTAAACTAATTTCTTTACGAATCAGTACAAAGCAATTTTTTTAATTTTGCACATGTATATATAGGACCCTACAACAGCAATCCATATGGCCACTTCTGGAACTTGTACAACTGACAGTCTCCAGTAAAGTTTTTACTTACAGTATCCTAGGAGCTGTTGGCTGGTTAACTAGAGCCTTCTCCAGATTCAGGACTTCAGTGAAGTGCTCTCCAGCAAATTTAATCCTCCAGGGGCAGCAGCCCTAAAAGAATCAGGAACCCTCTCTTGATGGTAAGATCATTCTGTTCAGCCCTACTTAAATTTTTATCACTTACCCAGCCACCTTCTGGACGCCACCTTCCAGAGACTGGCTGAGGCATGATACATATTCAACTCATCATTTGAACCTCCCAGCCCTACCATCTGGAAACATCTCTCAGAGGCAGGTGGGAGCAATCAAACTCAGCACACAAACCCTGAGCAGACTAACACAATCAATCACTTTAATATAATGAAGCAAAAAATTAAATTTACCTAGCAACCTAATTACAACAGGGAACTACATACAGTATATTTTCTTCATGCATTGTAGGGAACAGCATTCTCTCTGAACATGGTATGGTGATAAGGCATTTGCTGCCCACTATGTAATGTCATATTAGAAGAGAAGGCACTATATACTTGATAAAGGTATTGTGCAAGTACAACATATAGAAGATTGTCAGTTGATTAAACTGTTCAGCAGTGTCCACCTTAATAGTGCTAACTATAAGGGGCCCTGATCTCCTCACTTGACATGACAATGAATATGATGCACCTAAAAACAAGAGGAGAGAACATACTCATTACACAGTATACTTCACCTGCAGCTGACTCTTGGCACTTATCAAATGACCACCGGACTTCTACAGCTCGACCCCGTTGTTTGATTTGCTGCTCTACATCATAGATTTTGGCCCGAACCTGAACAAACAAAACACTGTGAACTTTAGCTCACAGCTCTAACTCCTAACTCCTAACTCAATTTCATCTAAAGCAAGATCAACATAGATAACAGACTTAGAGCCCTTTGAATGCCAAAGAAAATCTTTTAAATGCCGACTTCCCACTCTTTCTGCTTGTAGGTAGTTGCAGGTTTTCCTCTGTCCAATAGGTGACACTGTGCCATTTCCTCTTGAACTTTGTTGGTGTCCTAGAGGAACTAGCTGTCTAATTGGATCCTGCAACCACTGGTGACCTTCAGCACCCATCTTGGTGTGGGACATTATAAAATAGTGGGCATGTCAGGAGCAAGTGGTAACTCAAGGGCAGAGACCCTGCTTGTTAGGGAGATTGAATAGCAAAGGGAGGGCTTCCTAGCGAGTAGGGTCGGCAGAAAAAGGGTATACATGGACCAAAAATTGGCCAGTTCAGCAGGAACCAGACAAATTTTGGTACGCATGTACCTGCTGTCTGACGGGGTTCTGTCAATCGGTCCTCTTGGAAGACCAGCATTCGATCCCTGCAATCAGCACTGATCTGTGTATTCTTGCAGGTAGGGGGAAAGTCCCCACTGTCAAAATTCAATAGTGCAGCTGGGGAGATCTTTGTAACCACATCACTGGTGAATTTTGTTTTGTTCAACCTGTTGAACAAAAAAATTCAAGGTGTATATCCTGATTTAGGGACATACCGATGTAGAGGAAACATTCCAGTATCCAAACCAGTGAACTGGGGCTCTTCTCAGCAGTATGTCAGAAGTGCTGTCCAAGTACAATGCAAACAGCTACCCCTCTAGAGGAAGCTGTCCTCTGTAATGCAGGCCCAAGCCTGGTGATACTGTATAAATTCACAATGTTATATTGCCTAATACCAGTGCTATAGAAACTGCCTTTATTCATAACTACTAACCTATATACAATATACAAGACAAATTATAACATCCAGGATTGTGTGTGTGGTTTCTCCCTGATTGGGTACACTTGGGCCTGTTGACTAAAGATAGTTAATTTAGAGGTTGCAAAATAAATTACTGTATCACCCAAAATATGGCTTCCATTCAGTAGCCCAAAGAGGCATACAAAAAAGAAGGGTTTGTGAAAAGAAATTCACAGGAAAAGCGGCTACACTATGAACAGAATGTGATACTCAGAAAAAATTCCAAAAATAATGCTTTATTACATATAAAATTTGACATATGGGCAGTCACCCTGGTTACCATCACCTCAGTATGAGACAATATACACACAGACCTAAAACCATATAAAATCACCAAGACCAGTCTGAATGAATGTGCTGCCAAGACAATGACAAAAATGTCTAAAGTCTTTGCCGCACTGGCACATAGGTTAACACTTCCCAAAGGAGGTGTACACAAAAATTATACCATAGGTATACAGTGTCACATGTAATAAATGTAAAGACATATGTCATAACCATGTAGGTTCTATCCCATAGAGGGGATTTCCCAAAAATTATACCAAAGTGTATGAAATATCACATGTATGCATTGCGGCGAGCACAGTGTGCGTCAGAAGAGAGGCATAACCATAAGCCTATGTAAGGCAGCAAAAGGATATCATATATAAAATGCAGTACAGTCCCATGCCGGTACACGTGGTTGGGGCCCATTCATCTGTAATAGAAGTGACTGATATTTAGGACTCTTTAGATGTAAATAACGCCCCGATGGACACAACTGTATGGGCAGTCGCCCTTGGTTACATCACCTCAGTATGAGACAATATACACACAGACCTGTTGCCTGGATGGAGAAACAGATGCAGATAGCAGAACACTGCTTTAAGTGATGACTTCACCACAGTATGTGGACTACACATCACTTGTTGTTGAAAACAAGATAAAGCCCAGCGGCTCCTCCGCCCGTTGAAATATATATGGCATGCCTTGTTTCCTATGTAAAGCACCATAATGTCCCCATCCTGTAATAAGACAAACAATATGAGGGAAGTCACTGAAAGAGCTTTGAACTCTATATTAGACGTTTTATGCCATGTAGGTCATAGAGGACCTTGAATCTAATGTCCTGTAACAGTCCACTCACCACCTGTGCAATGGGTAGTAAGAAAGAAGAAGATGTCCTTCATGAATACTGCCCTTCAAAAAAGTACTGCTGTATGGAACCAGGGAACCACCGCTTACATCAGCCGACATACCGCGGGTTCCGACCTCTCCATGGCGCCTGTGCCGCCTAAGCCTGCCTCATGGCATGTGAAGATGGCTACCTCCTTGTGGGTCAGCATGCGTTCCACCTAGTGCGCATGACCGGAAGTGACGTATCTGACGTATGACGTCAACGCGTTTCGCCGATGGGCGTATCTCACTCAGCTTCGTCAGGACCAATGGGATTACTGCATTTCAACCCTCTATTTATAGTGGATTAAGACCCACCCACATATGCAAAAATCACATTGCAGTTATCCCCAATGGAAGAAAAAAGGCTAAATATTTAGCACATCCGCTGGTCATAGTTAAATTAAAACAATAAGTGACTGGAAATATCAAAGG